GGCTCAAACAGGAGACGGGTCTTCGATACGTGGATATGCTTTTCCTTCACACTCCCGGCTCTCTATCCCTTACACTCACTCGTGGTTGGGTCGGGCGTAATGGGGGAGGGGTTGGGCTGGGGATTGGATGGGTTGATGTTGGGTTGAATGGTGTGATAATTATATGATAATTATTATAACAAGTATTGAAATCAATTAATAGGTGTTTAATATATAAGAAGTTTAACCGCAAAACAGAGGTCTCTCTCGAGAGGAGGAAAACCCCCCGAAAGGCAAACAAACGCGTCGTTTACTTAAGAGGAAGTAAACGTGTTTTAGTGTCCAAATCCAAGACAAGAGGTCCCTTTATCTGTGACTCCCGTTACTAATAAACAAACCGGTCATTCGGTCCGTCTGTCTGACCGTAATCTCTATATACGATTAGCTGTATATAAACCCCGAGTATTAAAACCCGTGAAATGAACGCCAATCCGTACCAAATGCGACCGTCGGGTCCGACCGGTTCCGTACACAACCGGTCGGCCAATAGCGGCGGTCAGCCCTCGGCCGCCGACGAGAAGAAGTGGGGCGACACGACCTCACGGGCCGGAGAGGTGTCCCGTGTTTTTATCGGTGGTGTGGACTATAAGAGTACTTCTTGTGCTGAAATCGGTTCGTATTTTTACCTTTCAATACAATCTTTCACTACTTTTTTTTTCCTGTGACACCATTTCGTGTGATTTATGAATACAATTATGATTATTGTCTTATTGTTTGACACTATGTTTTGAATCAAATAAAATGATTGCAATTATAGGTTGACTTTTACTTATTTAAAGGTTTGGGAAGTTTTTATTACGAGGGAAACGGTATGTGTGGAGAGGTCTGGGTTTTGATAGTAGTTTAGGGATTGGATTATCACTTATGGATCCATTCTTATGGCAGTATAATTGAGGGGTATTTTAATGTAAAGTAATTAATAGGACAGAGGGTTGGGATATTGGACTCGTGTTTGGGGCGAACGGTAGCACTGGTTGTCTACAGACAATAATTGGTTTTAAATTAGTCTCAAATATAGTTTTTGAATTGATTTAGTATTTCTTAATCAATAATTTAGGAAATAATTATAGTTATAATATGAGGTTTGGTTCCCTAAATATGACACCATTTTACGATTTAATGATAATGTGATTGGATTGCGATGTTTAGAGCAACGGTTCCGACCCTATGGCAACATCTTAGGCATTGATATCCATCCGAAGAACTTCGCGTTCGTTCAGTTCGAGAGAGTAGAGGACGCGGAGAACGCGTGTCGCGGAGAAAATGCCACTTCGCTTAAGAACAAGAAAATTGGTTTGCAATCAGACTATCATTTCATTGGATTTATTACTAATTTAAATGCATTTTCCATCAGAAGTCCGTGTGTTTGATAAGAGCGGTCACCCGACCAAAGGCCGCGCCGCTCCCAATCGGGACCGGAGTCGCAGTCCGACCAGAGGCTCGATGGGCGGCGGAGGCGGTGGCGGACCCACTGGCACCAGACACGGGGCGCCCGTTCCCCATATGAACCAATACGACGACCCGTACGGCTATAATCAGGGACCGCCGCCTCCGCAACAGCCGCCGCCCACCGACGGCGCGACCGGCAATGAATGCGAGATTATTGTCGTCAGTAAAGAGCAGTGGTTTGTATTCAATGCCTATGTGTTGACAATTGATATACAACTTAATTGATTGTATGTGTGTTTTAGGGGTTACGCGGATATGATTGAGAAACGGCTCAAACAGGAGACGGGTCTTCGATACGTGGATATGCTTTTCCTTCACACTCCCGGCTCTCTATCCCTTACACTCAACGATCTCTTTGAAAGGTTTGTCGCATTCATACCATTAATAATCTAGATTTTGTTTAATAATTTATTATAAAATTGTATTTCGCAGACAAACTCTATACGCTTTAGTGGTGGCGCCGGTCAACGAAGAGCACGTATCGGTCACTCTTCACGTCCTCCACAATCAAACGGGTATTTTATTTGTTTTTTTAGTCAAATGAATGACAGTTTTGTTGCATTTTAATTGTTTTTACGCTAAAGAGCACCGAAATATGCCACTCGAAGACGCCTTGCGTTTGATAACAAACGACTTCCAGGCGTACAACGGTATGGGCGGCGGTGGCGAAGACATAAGAGCCGGACCGCCGGCGGCCTATCCTATGGGCGGAAATAACGCGTCTTCCGCTCCCAACGATCAGTCGTATCGGTCGGCCGGCAATGCATTACCGCAAGAGGTGTCGTATTTGTTGCGACAGGTGTTGGAAGAAAATGGGACACAATATCTGAGTCCAACACAATTGGATTCATTAATCGATTACTTTCAGCGCCAGAAGAGCCGAATGGCCGAACCCAAGCCTGTGGTCGACAAAAAGCCGGCGCCCATTGATCTGGAGAAACAAAAGGCCACTCTTCTGGACAACCCTCACGTTCAGGCGGCCCTCTCGTCGCTTCTACAGATCGGAGCGCTTACCGGCGACTCCCCTAAGCCCAGCGCTTCGGCCAATCCTTTCTCGGCGCTCACTTCTTCGTTCAGCGGATCTAACTCTGCATTTGGCGGCTCTAACACCGGCGCTAATCCACTGTTTGGCGGTTCGACCACCGCTTACGGCGGACAACAGCAGAACAACGGCTCGGCCAACGCTCCCACCCGTCGACACCCACTGTTCGGCACCGAAGTTAAGCCCCAATCGATTCCGGGAGCGCCCGGAGGTTTGGTCGGTTACCCACCCGTCCAGTCGTACAATCAATACCAGTCCTATCAGTATTGAATGTTTTTCTTTATTTGTTTCATTCATTTTGTCGTTTTTTAAATTTACTTTTCTGTGAAATTAATTTTGTTTTCAAAATTGACAATAAATTTATTATCCTTTCAAACGATATTTTATAATATTTTTCATATGGACTCAAATGCAAAATATTTGGGCAAAGAATCAATTGATTGTTTGATATCAAGTGATTTCCAATAACTGGTAATTTACGTAAATATAAGGCAAATGTTTGATTAAAAAATTCCTGAAAAATAAATGTTTTATCAAATGTTTATAACATGTAAAACATTTCATAATTTTAATCTCTATAAAGTTTTAATATCAATATTATTGTAGGAATATTTGTTGTGCAATACAGTAGTTATGCAACCGATTCCTCGCAAACATTCATACAATACAAAGCCTTCACGACCTGACCCTCTATTCAGTCCTTTATTAGTTTTTTGCTGCACTTATGGTAAGAATATAGGATCAGATCCAATGTTTTTAACCAATAAGAGTGGTTAAAGCGGAAACAGTTTGTTGTCTTTTTGACTACTGGTGGGTCTTCTAGAGTGAACAGCGGTCCTCATCAACAATATTACAAATACAATGATAGTAGCTATGCATACAATATATGGTTGTTTGACAAATAAATATACTTTAGGATTAATTTTAAAACAGTAGTAATGGATTTGTCAATATTTCATAAATTAAATCATACCCTAAAATATTACACAATTTTTGAAATTTTGTTTTAAACAAAATTTATGTTTAATAAAAAACTTCTAACTAGTTATATGAGATTATTAAATTTGATATCGCTATTTGAGTCTAAAAATATACTAAAATAACGTGAAATGAATTTATTTATACGTTTATAAAAATTTTGATTATTGAACGATAACTAGGAAACAAGTCTTTCAAGTTTTAGACCCAAAAATATTTAATATTACGGTAGTATTAATTTTGTGTAAAATTAGTGAATTATTTCATCACATTCTGGACGAGTGATATAAACTCTATAGTTATCGCAGACACTATTAATTTACAAATATTTTGATTGCAATTAACAAAAAAAATTCTATCAATTGATTTGATTTTAATGTTTGTTTAAGTTATAAACGATATAAAATCGGATGAAAACAAAACTAACAGTGAATTCAATTCATTTGGAAATCAATTGATTTGGCGATCGGTTTTCCGCTAATTAATTGGTATGTATTAAGCGTTTGGCAATACATGTGACAGTATTTTACTGATTTTACAACTGATTAGATAACGAGTGGACCGTAAAGTTGTGTATACTATAAACGTGTATACTTTAGACGACAATCAAATCAAAGTTTGATTTTCAAACATATATTTGTGGAGAGAAAACATAACTCAAACTTTTCAATCAAATCTGATTTCATCTGTTGTTAACTCCGAAACATAAAATGCCGGGAAAGACAATCGTCGGCTCCACAGTTGCCAAGGAGTTCATGTAAGTGTTATTACTCTTATTTAAGCATTTATTACTTTTAGCATTATTTGTAAATAACTTTAAAATTATTTGATAATAATTTTGAAAACAATTTTTACATGTGCTCATCATTTTTTAACCACAATTAATTTACATTTCATTTTCTCTGATGTAATGAAAGCAATGAATTATCAAAGACTATCACAGTTTACAAGATTGAGGTAAAACTGGTGACATTCTTAGCCAATGAAGACCCGGCGGCCGAGAAGTACGCGGAAGTGACGGCCAAAGCGTGCGCTGAGACTGGAGTTCAATACGAGTTGAGGAAAATAAATCGCGAAAAACTTGAGGACACTATCATTGAGGCCAACAATGACGACAGCATTCACGGCATTTTGGTCTACTATCCCGTGTTTGGCGGCGGACACGACCAATACATACAGAACTGTGTCAACCCATACAAAGATGTGGAGGGTTTGTGTCACACCTATCGGTTCAATATGTACCACAATATACGGTACATGAATGGCGTCCAATCGCTCAAATCCATCGTTCCGTGCACTCCGTTGGCTAAGAATGTCACCAGTTTTACCTCAATCTTGTAAACTGTGATAGTCTTTGATAATTCATTGCTTTCATTACATCAGAGAAAATGAAATGTAAAT